CATTTTGATACTGAGGGAAAGAGTGCGTCAGCGTCACACACACACACACACACACACACACACACACACACACACACGCACGCACACTAAAGCAAAGGGTGTGGCAACCAGTATCATCAGAGTTTTAGATGTGTTACAATCAGCATTATTTAACACATCGTTCTTTTTTCCTGTTCCTGTTACCACATCTCACTACTTTCATGAATAGTGAACAAAAAGAGTCTGAAACTCTCTCTCTCTCTCTCTCTCTCTCTCTCTCTCTCTCTCTATATATATTAATATTTAATATAAAATACATATATTTAAAGAGTTTCAGACTCTGGTCTGAATATATTGTATCATATTATATTATATATCTAAGTATTTATTTGTTTGTTGGCAACTTCAGGTGGTCAGACCTTTTTATTAAGTTAATTTGACCTTTTTATGTACTATTCATTTTTCTTATAATGTTTGTGTAACCATTTTGTTTTGAGTGATTATGCAATTATTTAGGAATGAACATTGAAATTTAAATAGCCAAAATGTGATAATACTATTTATTTGTCATTCCACCATGTACCTAGAAAAAGTCTAAATAATGTTATTTATTGTCAAGAAAAAATAAACAGGGTTGCATGCAGGAAACCGCTAAATATACAAATTTTGGTTATTTAAATAATACATTTAACAAGCGTATTTAAAATGAACACGTTTCATCAGACGTTTCTTTATTTGTTTATTTTTATTTGTTTGTTTAGCTTATAGGTTTTCAAAAACCGTCAAAACGAACCTAAAATTAATTAAAGGCTTTTATTATTATTATTATTATTATTATTATTACATACCTAAAAAGAATGATTCTTAGTCCTAATATAGCTGATTTCTGTGGTTTTAAAGTCAGGTATTTAGACTGTAAACTGCTCTAAGTTTATATTCCAAACACTGAGTATCACAAGAGGATCTGAAAACATTGGTATTCAATCAGAGGATGGGTAAGACTGAATCATTTGAACCAAGACTATGCAAATCTTTTTATAGTTACATCATCACACGTCCTGAGGGTTTGACTTTACTCCACACTTCTAAAAATAAAACTCCAAAGTTTTTCGCAGCGATTCCGTAGAAGAATAATTGCAGCATGAACACCGAAGTGTCACTTCTCACCCTAGCCTATTCATTTACGGTCGCTCTGTCACCTTCAGAAGCGCTGACTCATCACCTTCTAATCAAAGATCATTGCATTTTCTCTTGGAGAAAACAAATTATTGATAGTTGCAGGCTTAATTTTCACTGTGACCCTAACATATCTGAATTCAATCGATTAATTCTATAGAACAGGAATCAATGAATAATAATGCACAGTTCATCAAGTTAATCAAATTAGGTCAAAAACGGGGTGACAGACATCTTTAAACATGTTTGAATGTTTGTCCAGTGACAGTGCTGTCATGGTCCAACTATCTGCTTTCAGGCTTCATCTGCCATGAAAGAAGTGCCAAAATGCAATGGCTCTAATGTGTGTAATCCTTGCCTCACGTGATTCCAACAAGGGCAGCTTGAATTAGAACAGCCTTTCCCAAATGCTTACAGTGATGCCTTTCCAACAGATGCTTTTCTAAACATCTGTTGTCCCAAGCAAAGACATGCATGATAAAATCCACCGTGTAGCATTAAAGTCGTATCAATTATCTATCTCTAAAAAGTGGAGGGCTTAGTAACTTGATCGTATTAAAGATACAAATATAATTTAGTATGAGCCCTGATTTGGGCAGGCCCAAAATTTCTGATAATATTAGAATATTTACAGGATTTACAGGATCACAGATTGTTAGGAAAATTCTAAAATAAAATACAACTAAATAAATCAAATTATTTTAGTTTTTAGAAAAAATATTTTTAGTTTTAGAAAGTTTTTTTCAATTAAATAAAGACACAAAATCTGCCATTATTTTTTTGACACTGAATGAATGTGATGAAATAAAATAAAATAAAATAAAATTTTGCCTATATACACTGTTATACTAAATTAAAAAGAAACATAAAAGCTGCTTTTTTATTTTATTATTATTTATTTTTTTTTTTTACAGTTTTTTAGACTATGCTAGATAGATGTGAAAAATATAAACATAAAATAAATAAAATAAAGTCATAAATAAAAAAAGATGATGAATAAAAACAAGAAAAAAACAAATAATGGCTAAAACTGTTAAATAATAATATTAATAAATGGCTAAAAAGAATGTTAACACCTGTCAGTTATACTGTAAATAACATATTTTAATATGTTGTCATATCCATGTCATAGTTTTATTGTAAATCTGTCAAGTTCCATAAAGCTTTTTGGGAAAGATATGATGGGGATGTCATTTTGTCCTTATTGTCAGCAGAAACGGTTTAGTACTTTTACCCTAGAGTATTTATTGTTGAAGCGTGAGCCCTTGCTACATTCTGTTTCTATAGGGATGTGAGGTTGCCAAGTAATACCAAGAAAAGACTAACTCTTGGCAACTGCCGCGTGTCACGGCCTCTGCTACTGATGCTGAGCAGAACAGACATTTTCCCCTCAACTTCATTTGTCCATTTAAAAAGAATCGGTGTAAGTATGTGAGAATGAACTGTGCATGATGTACTTTCACTAATGTGGCAAGAGAGCATGTTTTCATGCTCCCAGGTCAAGCATGAAATTGCAATGATACGGCTGTTTTGTCAGACAAATATGCATGATTTCAAACATGTAGCTGTAAAAAAGCTTTTACATAAACTTTGCTGTGAATATTTAAGCTGCTAAAAGTGCACTAGTATGCTGCATCTTAAATAAATTAGTGCTTATTAGTAAAAGAGTATGACTTATTCCATATGTTGCGCTGAAAATCACTGAAGATATCAAGAGTGTGTATTTTTGGATTGGTTCTGATGTTGCATTGGAACAGAAAACAGTTTTTGGTGATACCTTATAAGGTAATTATTTTTTTCTTGACATATTTAAATATATATTTTATATGTGCATCTTGTGCCTCTATAATGTATAATCTCATCAATAATAAACCTATACTTTTTATACTTCTTATATTCTTATTATTTATAACCTTATTTTCATATTATACACTGAAAAAAATTTTTCATTCATCCAATTAAAAAAAATTAGAGTAATGATTCACATCTATATTTTTTAACTTGAGCCGATGAAAAATAAATAACTTGGCCTTGCCCTTTCAGTGTACGTGCAATGAAACACACACACACATGCAATTTTTTAAATAAATTTTGTTCAAATGTTGAATAGACAGTTGGATTCCAAATAATGGCAAATAATAAATAATTTTCGGACTACTATTTTTTTATGTGTTAAACTACAGTTGTATAATCTTTTCGGCAATGTAGCATTAATCACATCAAATTTGATTTGCAGTTTTTGTCTGTCTATCATCTTTGAAGTAATCTGTATGCTATTGTACTCTTAACTCTTTCCCTGCCAAACACAGAATTTTCCAGGTTCTCTATGGGATTGAGATCCGGGGAGCTGCCTGGCCACGGATATAAAATTGAATTGTAATGACCTTCAAGTCACTTCTTTATCACTCTTGCTTTGTGACATGGTGCTCCATCATGCTGGAAAATACACGGATCATCACCAAATTTCTCATGAATCGTTGGAACAAGTCGCTCTTGCAGGACGTTTTGATACCATTTTAAATTCATGGCAGTGTTTTTGGGCAGAATTATGAGAGAGCCCACTCCCTTGGTTGAAAAGCAACCTCACACATGGATGGTCTCAGGATGCACCAGTCTTCTGCTGTCCAATCCTTGTTCTTCCTGCAGAATTTCAGTCTGTCCTTGAGGTTTTTCTTGGAGAGAAGTGGCTTCTTTGCTGCTCTTCTTGACACCAGGCCACTGTCCAAAAGTCTTGGCCTCACTGTGCGTGCAGATGCTCTCACACCAACCTGCTGCCATTCCTGAGCAAGCTCTGCACTTCTGGTGACACGATCCTGCAGCTGACTCCTCAGGAGGAGACGGTCCTGGTGCTTGCTGGACACTCTGGGACGTCCTGAAGACTTTCTTCACTGCAGTCGAACCTCTCTCCTTGAAGTTCTTGATGATCCGGTAAATGGTTCTTTCAGGTGCAATATTCTTTGTAGCAATTTCCTTGCATGTGAGGCCATTTTGATGCAAAGCGATGATGGCTGCGCATGTTTCTTTGGAGGTAACCATTGCTAACAAGAGCACAATGATTGGAAGCGCTTCTTCCCTCCTTTTATAGCAATCAGTCTGCTCTTACAGTCTATTTAGTATGATGGTGATTTTACCTGTC